TAGTCCGAGGAATGCTACGCCGGGCCAAGGTTTTGACACGGCAACTCGATCTGGAGACTCTCAGCCCACATAAGGGCTGCTATTGCATGCTTGTGCTTGCTACTCTGGATCCAGCTTCAGCAATGCATGTGTGGTGGTAATCATCGGATGTGGATGTTTGAGGGGCCAGGAGTATAGCAACTCCTACTCGTCCTTCATGTTCCCCCCTCCTCATCACGATCATCTTCGGCATCCCCACCATAGCAACAATATCAGCTCGATATTCACTTCCGGCACCCCTCTGCCTTCTCCGAGCATGGTGGAAACGAGGGCCAGGGCAACCCGCCACGAGGCAGCATCCTGGCAGAAATCACCGGAACAGGACGTGAGTTCTAGGGATTTATTAAAGAGATTCATTTTCGGTGATTGGTTTCTTGATGTTGTTCACCCCTGCTTTTCTTGTGGCTTCCTTTGGCAGCCCGTTGAAACGCCTAGCCGCTACGCTCTCGGGGTCACTTGTTCAGTCTGGTCCTGTAAATGGCTCTGAGCCAATGGATGAATTTCTCAACAAAGCGTATGCTTGCCTTGCACGCTCGCAAGACCACGGCGTAGTTCATCACATTCGGGCGGAAGCCAGCCTGGGCAACTTCTTTTTTTGTTCGGCCGACGGGCGCAGAAACCAAAAGTCTGGAATGGGGAGCTTCGCAGACTCCGAACATTCATGCCTGCATGCTTCTGGGCATTGGGTGGGCACGGGTTCTCACTACCAGACTTGCGTAAGCTCTGTTTATTTCGGCATCTCCGGCTGACTGCAACGGACGGTCAGGTTCTCCGGCCTGCTGTTGCAGTCGTCGTTTCTGCGAGTCGCTATGATCCCAGAGCCCAGAACGCCGCATTTCGAGACAGGCAACACTGGTCCCTCGAACCCCGCACTTTCAGCAAAGCCCCAAAGGCCGCCGCTTCACCAGGAAACCTTTCTAGAGAATCCCGGCAGCCCACACAGCCGCCCCAAGCACTGAACCGACACTCCAGAACCAGAGAGCCCCTCGCGTGACCGGCCGAAGCACGGTGCGCATGGTCGAGAGAGCTCCGAGCGCGGCGAGCCAGCCCCCGGCCGCCTATAAGTCAAAGGTTGTTGGTCTGTTAGTGCGCAGGGTTGTTAGGAGATTGGGGATCTGGGACAGCCGTAGCTGGCTATTTAAGCTTGTCGAAGGATGGGCAAAAGAGCCAACGGCATCAGACTGCCTTAAGGACCTCGAACAAAATCAAAAGGACGCCGGTTCCCCAATACTTCGCATATGCCTTTCAACACGTTTTGAAACCCTGCAACTGATGCCAGCGCATGGACTTCTACACACGAAGAAAAACAAGATCTTTCTTGTAGCCCTAGTAAGCCAGAAAGACGGACCTGCGCCAAGCGGACAAGCAGGCCGAAGGTCATACCATCGGGCTGAAGGCGCCTCTGCCTAGGAGTCCGACTTTTCTTACAGCGCAGGGCTGTCGCCTATACTGTCATAAGAATAGCATTGACATTGGTGTGGCGATAACGCGAGTCAATAGGATTGTGAATGCTTACATTATTGGTGTTAACAAAGCCTTCCTCAGTAGTGCCAGTATTCAGTGTTGCTGCATCAGCATCAGCATTGCTGTTGGTGTTCGTCTGAATACTGGCATTGGCATGCTGCTATGTTGCTTTGGACTAGAGAACGACCACCCTCGATTCTTCATTTGCGAGCACTTCGAAGGCTGTCAAAAGGTCGAAACCTCAGGCCTTTTCGGGAGTTTGGTTTGAGGAAGGCTTTAGGAAGGCAGTTGGCCTTCAGCCCGAGCCTTCCGATGTTGCGGTAAAAGCTCGAAGGCCCAGAGTTGAGAGTTTCGGGTCCAGGGCTGACGGCTTAGCTTTTTGAGCTGTTTCCGGACATCCATGCACTTTCACACGACCCTACATGCTCTTTGAGAGGCTTCATACCTATTCCGGTTCAGAGGCTGTCTGACTGTTTCCGCATGAGCCTCGATCTTCCAAGCCGGCGTGGTCTGTCTGAAATCTACGCATGCTGCCTGTGTAAAACGCTGCCACTGCAGGACGCCTTGTTCATACCTGTGCGTGTGCATATATGTATATACATAGATGTATATGTATACACGCACACACACAGACAGATGGCGGAAGCTACGAAGACACGAACATCATATACCACTGACGCTCGGTAGCCTTCGAATTTGTTACCGCTCTGCCCACGTAGGGTGTATTACTACTTAAACCTGCGCTCAGTTCAGTTAGTCATGGCGCCCGCTACAACTTGAAGTCTGACATCTCATTCCGACTTCGGGCACTGTTTGTGCCAATCGTACGAACTTGAAGTTTTCGGGTGGTAGTTTCTGAGTTGTCCAATCTTCTGTCTAAGCTCTTTAGTTTTACTCGTGGTTGTTTTAGTAGAGCATCGGGTAGTACAGGGTTGGCAGTACCACTATGGCGACTGCTTGTGAACAATTGCTACTGCAGCTGCGGGAACACCAAACCCTATCCAGCGTTCAGGGGGGCAAGCTTCCTTTGAGCACTCGCCTTGCTTGGAGGGTTGAGGGGCTGTCCACTTATGCGGGGTCTGGCAGCATAGTCCTCGTTTAGGCTTTATCCAATGGCATATGGCTCTGAGTGGCATTCGCCGTGCTAAACAAAAACAGTGTACTTCGTGAATGCCAGTTGCAGAATCTCGTCGTAGAGGCTGAGAGCGACTGGCCATGCTCCTCCCTTCTCGCAGGCCGACAGTGCAGAGTTCCAGCCAACTATGTCGGACTCTCGGGAGCTGAGCAGTGCCAGCACTGCTTGCCACTGCTTGGCCTGGCTTGGGGAACAGGGAAAGGACATGAATGCCAGTAACAACAAAGAGCCCGGTTGCAGTCGCCGTCAAATTCGTTGCAAGACGAAAAATCATTACTAGTACTAGCAATACCAACTGCTGCTCGAACCACCACCACCACCACAACCAGGAGTAGGAGTAGTAGTAGTAGTAGTAGTAGCAGCAGCAGCAGTAGTAGTAGCAGTAGCAGTAGCAGTAGCAGTAGCAGTAGCAGCAGTAGCAGCAGTAGCAGCAGTAGTAGCAGTAGTAGCAGTAGTAGCAGTAGCAGTAGCAGTAGCAGTAGCAGTAGCAGTAGCAGTAGCAGTAGCAGTAGCAGTAGTAGTAGTAGTAGTAGTAGTAGTAGTAGTAGTAGTAGTAGTAGTGGTAGTGGTAGTGGTAGTGGTAGTGGTAGTAGTAGTAGTAGTAGTAGTAGTAGTAGTACTACTACTACTACTACTGCTCCCACTGCGAACGCTACACTATTGCTAGTGCTGCTGCTCCTGCTGCCACTGCTACTGCTTCCACCACTGAGACTACGGCTTCTACTACTGCCGCCATCACCACCACGTAGACGACCGAAACCATTAGTGGCCAGGACTGCTTCTGCTGCTGCTGCTGCTGCTGCTGCTCTCAATATGGTACTGCGGAACAGCTTGTAAGACAGTGTCGCATGACTGGTGCTTTCGGACTTGTCGTACGAACAGCAACATAGACAATAACATGTCGCGGAAAAGGTTGTAGCCAGAGACAGAAAGTGCGGTCAGGACTTCAGACTTGGGATCTGGAAGGCTTTTGGACTCGTGGTTCAAGGCGTGGTCTGGAAACATCTTCGGAGTTAGGGACAGCCCCGACAAGTTGGGAATCCATGGTTCATTCTTGGAAACTCCAGGGGTTGCCTTCTCACAGGCCGCCATGGCTGCATTGGCGACGATGATGTTCCTTGTATCGGCTCGTGGATGTTTTCAACCGAGTGCTGCTAGTGCACGTAGAAGCACGTACAGTATGATGTCTACATCGTACACACACATATGCATGTGTGCATGTAGTGTGTTCATGCACAGCTGCGATTGTCCGTGCTTCGCTGCCACCATAACAGTACGTATTCGACTTCGTCTTTCAAGCACACAGGCTCCCAGCACTCTACCGCACAACAACACAAAGCAACAACCCCCTCAGCAACTTCAGTTACCACCAGAAGCTCAAAAACCATGATGATGAACATGCCCCACAGGGTCAACGGCAAGCGCCGGCAGCTCGCTTCATCCAGCAATGCCACGGCTTTCCTGGACTATTTGGCGGTTACATCTGCAAATCACCATAACCTTAAGTCCACCTCATGGTTTTCTTCCGTCGCCAACAAATTCTTGCTAGAATCTATGGAGAAAGATTACGCAACTGCAATCAATGCTCTTTAATCTGTTTTCCCTCATCCGAGCAACACCTCAAATCATCTCCGCTCATGACGCTATCTCACCAAGCCATAAACCAGCGTTCTTCGATCTTCAATCTCCAGCTAGTAACAGCTAGTAGCCTTCTCAGAAACCCTCAACCCCAAGTCGTAAGCAGCAAAACCAGGCCAAAACACAACACTCAGACACATGCTGCTTTCATCACAGAGCAGGCTTCCTCCACTGCTGCGCCCGACCAGCCTGAGCAATGGAAGAAGTCAGCACCTGTTCGCTGAACCGACAGGACTTCGGAGTCCGCGTCGTAAGCTAGGAGAGGCCTACAGTTACAGTACAGGTCTCGGGTTGAGGGGTTTCACTCAGACGTCTCGTGGTGAGGATCCTTGCAGCATGCTCCGGGAATTTCCAGTGCCTGCAAGGCTATTGCAAATGGGCTACGGGCGAAGCAGGCGAGCCCCCAAGACGCCGCGACGCCGTTCTTCAAAATCGAAACTCTGAACAGTAAATCGTCTTAACACATGCGTAAAGCGGGCCCTCCTGTCGTTTGCATTACCTTCCGATGGGTGTTGAGAAGGCATCTTTTGAGGTAGGTTCTCTGGATGACAGTATCCTGGAAAGGACAGAACTGATGACAGCTCTCATAGGACCCTACACAACCGCATGATGAATGCCCTGCCCTGTAGAACCCTCTCTGAAAATTTAATGGGCGCGCCTTCAGTCGATCTTCGAGGCTCCGGTCGGAGGGAGCGTTGCGCAGCGCAATGCTCGCGAGCTCCATCGGCAAAAACGGGAGTTTCTGAACACGGCACCCGCTTTTTTGAGGGGTACTTCTAGGATCCCGGGCTTAGGGCTAACACGAGGCAGCGCCACTTTCAGAAACTCACATTGCAGAAAGATCCAGAAGGCCATGGCCAGCTTACGAGTACGATGGATCTCCGAATGCAGTTTGAAAAGAGAAGTGGGTAGCTTTTACTTCGACCTTCATAGCTCCATCAGGATCCCCCGACCGCCCCCGACCTGGCACAGCAACACAGCAACCCCACAATCAAAAGGCACATAGTCAGGGAAGCAGTGCTGTCGGGAAACCGCCGAATCGCACGAAGCTAAGGAAGACCTTCGGCAGTCAGAGCAGAAAAACAACAACACCGAAAGAAGCACGCAGCTTTTTTGAGAAGGTCCATGCACTCGCGCTTGGCGACCTCGGCTGCCAGCTCCAGCGTCTCCAGGAACATCAAAGGCACTCCAGGAGCTTTCTCCTCGCAGAGCTCGAGCCCCGAAAAAGGCTGAGCCCGCTTCGGTTGTGGCTTTTAAGCTTGGAGTTACATGTTTCCATTGTGCCGAAGTCGGCTATGCCAAGTGTTTAGTCAGGTCAGGAAGGGTTTGGAGCTGAAAGTATTCCTCCTCAAAACGACAATCCTTCCTACCTGCAATTCGCTGAAGCAGACTCAGCTGAAGTCTACGAAACCGGCGTGATTTATGACATGATTTATATAAGCTGCGCAGAGTCCCCAACCCCAAAGTATTTGGAGTCTATATGGTAGGTTCCGATGCGGTTCGGTTGTCTTGGAACGGACCTCAACTTAAACACAAGCGCACCCGATAAACCAGACGTGCGATACCCAAACGGCTCAGGTTTCAGATTTCTGTTTCCCAAAACCCGACTGCATGGCACAGAAACTTCGAGCCCCAAACCTCTTAACCTACTAGCCCCAACCCGAAAACCTTATACAACCTTCAACCCCGAAGCACAACTCGCCTTGCCGGGGGAACCCGAGTTTCAGGCAAGCCGTCTGCTACCCTAAGCTCGAATCCTGAACCTACCATGAAACCAAGGCACTTCCGCGGCTACCAGGCACTCGCAAACAGCCACGTCAGGTGCCAGCTGCCCTTGTGACAATGTGGATACAACGTCCACCTGACTGTCGGATTCTGGAAACTGCAACTTTAGGGTTCGAGAGTTTATGCTTCCAGAGGGACCGACAGCGCATCGATGCGGAAAACGTGATGACATGTCAAGATCAATAGGTATTGGCCTTGGACGAGGTAGCAATGATCGTGCTGATGAAATACTGACATATCGTTGTGCTGGAAAGGCTTGCACAGTGCTACCGTGCTTTAAGGACCGTGTACAACTGACGGTTAACCTTGTGATAGCATGCCAAACTGCCTAAGCAGAAAGTGGTAGAATGCGACAGGTGTGGCATACTGAAATCATAGAAGGCCGCAGTGTAAAGCAGCTTGACAATCCTCTAAAAGCGTGTGCTGCTACAGTGATAGAGGTCTGCTGCAAATAACAGCTTGCAGCGCTTTGATAGCGTAGGACGAAGACATGTGAGATATACAGTAGTCCTTAACATAACATGCTCATGATCTGATCATGTAACTATCGATTTGGACTCTCTTGCAGCCTGGCTGCTGCAGCTTGCCACACTGCACTCTTCCCACAGCTTCCAACAACAGCGACAGCTGCAGCCAGGTCGGTTTGGACGGTCTTCCTGCGATGCTTAATTGTACATTTAGGGCTGATGCAGGTCATATGACCCTCGGAACATCGACTATGCCTGCATCACGAGAACGGCAACAATGGTTATCCTGACCTTTGGACAGTTGCAGCGAGCCGGCCGCAGTACGTATCTTGCCCTAAGTGCTGTCTTCCGGGAATGACCGAATGACCTGGGTCCTGGGTGGTGGCAGCAATGAAGGGTGGACGTGCTGTAGCTGGCGCAAGCCAGCCCTAACTCTCATTACTCACGTTACGTCCGACGCGTTCGATCCCGAAAGCGTAAGCCCAACAAGGCGAAGGCCCAAAACCTGAAATCAGAAGCCTCATTCTGACAGGTGCTGCTCCTTCGCATCCCTTCCAGCAGGCGAAGCGCTGAGGACCAGGAACCGCGCGCCTAGCGCAGAAGACTTTAAGAAAGCGGGGCTCAGGTTCAGCATGCTTGAAGGTCATCGCGTTTCACAGCTGAGAAAGCACGACAGGTTTCGGGGTCAAGAAGTGCCTATGCTCGAAGGGGTTCGCTTTTCGGGTCTCGGGTTTCGGGGCCTCAGCTTATATTGGCTGAAAGTAGCTGCAACTCTGGGCTGCCAGAGCTACTGGTCGATGCTGACAGTCTTGTGCTCTTGTTCCCACTTGGTGGTCGCGCTGTTCTTGCAACTCTGCTACTGGGAGTGCGGTCATTCTGTTGAGACTGGCTGCAAGCTTAAAGCCGGAAATCCAAAGAAGACTTCATGGTGCGCCCACATCAATATCACAATTTCATGGAAGCACCTGCAAGCACTGGCACCTCCTGCAGGGCCAAGGCGACATTCTGCGCAGCTCGTCCGATCTCCAAGCGCAAAGCCTACGGGGTCGACGCAGGCTTTTCGGGCTTCTTAGGGCTTGGGGCGGCTTGGCACTTGCGTTATCTTCAGAGGCTTCGTAGTGTTGGCGCTTGGGAGCACTAGAGTTTCGATATAGGATTCTTGCATCAAGAGAGCACCGTTCTGAAGCAGGCCAGCTTCTTGGCTCCTAACTCTTGCCGTCGTTGTATGCATGGGTAAACTCCGAAATACATGACTACATCAAAGCGCCGAACCCATAAGCCCGAAAGCTCTCAAACTCTGAAGAATCCAAACAGCATGCTCCCTGCCTTCATGTCATTCAGCAGTTTCGCCACGGCTTTGAATTTGGAGGACTTGATGCAGGCCAGCAGCATGGCAGTGTACGCTACTGAATCTGCACACCTCAACATCGGGCTTTATCTGGTGGAGGAATGCAGGCTTAGGGATTGAGGTTCCAGTGGGGAAAGGTTTTCGGCTTAATCAGGCCGCCAGGCGAACACTTTGAATGGATGCTCAGCTGCGCTTGCTGAAGTTCGGGTACGGCGCTATCAGGAAGGTCGAGTGCACCCCTTTGCTGACGTTGGCCAAGTTTGGATTGGCATGTTCGAGCCCGCACGCCCTGTTGCCCAGCACCTGAACCTTCAACCCCAGGAGCCTCGAAGGCCAAAGAGACCAAGCCTAAACCCTGGGACGCAACAATGCAATCTTTTTGGCTTCAGCCTTTTCGTCCAAAACCCATCTCAGAGTTCGATCGCGCTCGGGCTTGGCTTTCTACAATTTTTAGGGCTTGCGGTCTCGGCCGCGTTTGTGTTGTTCGTGCGTTTGTACGCCAGTCTGTAGGGCCGACGACCGAAGCCTTGATCCCGATCCTTTTAGAAATGCCAGAACCCCTACAAGTTCGTATCCTTTATGCCTCAAACCCTGCATCCCTCAACCCAGAACATGTCCACGGACCCCACAAGCCTTGGCGCCCAAAACTTTCTTGAATCGTGCAGCCTCTCTCCAAGGCATCCCCCCAACTCCAGCCGAGCATCCCTGCAGCCCCGCGACCCTGGCGTCGCAGCTCAGCCAGCAATGTCAGACCTGCCCTGATTCCGAAGGGAGCTTAGACTGTTGAGGGTTTCGGAATCTTGGGGTGCCTCGGCTTAGGCGAAAGGCTTCGAAGATTCAGAACATCGGATCGGTTGTGCCAACAACGAGCAACAAATTAAACCATGCTGCTGATCAGAACATCATCAACACTGAAAAGTAGCGGTGAGAAAACATTTTGCTGTTGTCGAAGAAGAATCTAATACCAGTTCTGATAGTCGCAACTTTCACATGGAAAAAACAGTAGAACTTTTACTTGTAGTCATGGTGAGCACAAGACTCACAAAACGAGCACACCATGCAAAGGGCAACTCGCCCATCATCAACCAGGGCTGCCTATTGAGGTGTCTAGAGTCTTGATTGTGGGAGGCACAAATGCTCAAAGCCCCACACCCAGAGCAATGCAAATAAAGGCCCTCAATCCTCGAGAGTGAAAAACCCACAAACTTTGATTCTCGTCTCGAATCAGGCATCCGACAGGGAGCAGACAGGATGGATGCAGGTATGACGAAAGCAGGCTAGTACACTGCAACCTCAAGTCAAGTGAAAAGTAACTAACCACGACTGCCAACCAACGAGCAGATCAATCAAACCAACAAGGAACGGCTTGCATACCGAATCTTACCCAGCCGCTTCGCCGATTCACGGCGAGACAACTAGTCCAGCCTTGTTTGAGTCACGAGTTCAGATCACCCTCTTGCCCACCCTCACGCTGAAAGCCACAACCCCAAACCGGGTGCAGGCAGGGGAGGTCTCAAACCCTAATCAGTCTAATTCTCGCAATGCCGGCCTCCACGCCCTTCGACGCGCTGCAGCGGCTAATGCAGCACTGGCGGCAAGGCCGCCGCGTCTCTGCGACCTGACTTCTTGCAACACGCGAAGATCAGCTCATGGAGATAGCGCAGAGCGCTCCCCGGGAGTCTGCAAACCAGGAAAAGGAGAAGCGGAATCCAAAAGACTAGCCCGGAGATGAAGACCCGGTGACTAGGTCACATGTTCTTGCCTGGCGATGATTCAAGCGTGAACCGAAAGCAATAAGCCAGTATTTTCCTCTGGCCGCGAATGTGGCAGCGGGCACTGTGCAAGCATGGCGCTGGAAAGATCCATGTTTGCAGTGTTTAGGATTTCCGGGTTGGGGTCTCTGCCGATTGTTCAATCCGCTCAGAAAAACATGTTGCCGGTTTGGATGCCATCTTTCAGGGCCATGGAGCAACAAACAGGAATGTCTTAATCAGGTTCTCAAAATGCCGCAGGAATTCCGTGTATGCCTTTCGCTGTTGTAGAGGACCCGTCGGTCATTGGAGCAGGGGCGACGAGCTGTTCAACCCGAAGCTCCATGCAGGGACAGGCTTGGTATGCACTTTG